CCTTTCTCCCCAGCCTTTGGAAGGGCACTCATGGCAGAGGCTCAGCCACAGCACCTCCCACTTCGTCCCAGGGTCTTCCAGGCCAGGGACACCGACCCGTCCAGAGTCATGAGTCACTCTCTTTCTCTGGCCTCCAGAGTCGTGCTCACTCCTTCAGCCCTGTCCTAGCTTGGTAGAGAAGGCCGAAGTTCAGTCATCTGCTCGTCCCACTTCCCCGAGTGCTCAGATCATGACTTGGGGCCTCCTCCTTTCCATGGGAGATCAAAAATCAAACCCAAACAGCCCCCTCCTCCCACACACACACACACAGGCATGCACACACACAGAGAAGCATGCATGCACATGGGCACACCCATACACAGACACACGCACGCGCACACACGCCCCTTCCGTCTTTGTTTCTCTCACCTATCTCAGTTTATCCAGGACATTCACACCTGCTTCTTATTATGCTCAGTAGCCCCACCTTCCATGTGTATTTCTAAGTCAATCTTTGGAAAACCCCAGGTGGTCACTAAGTCCCTCCAAAGTCGCCCTCACTCCCAATGGACAGCTCCACTTTGTCCTTAGTGGGATGGCTTCTCTCGCCCTCATCCTGCTTCCAGCTTCTGGGAAGGAAGGTCGTGGGAGAAGTGCCAGCACTTGGGGAGGTGAATGGCCGGACAGCTAGTGAGGTGGGAGTTGGGGCGGAGGAAATTATCCTGGCACGTGCCCAGGATCTCTCTCTTTCTGCCCTAACTAGAGTAGTTGTGGAGGAATCAGGGTTAGTCTACGAAAGGAGGCCAACTCTGCCTTGGGTCGGATTCTCATTAACAGAAAGGAGCTGGTTCCTGGGGATAGAAAGGAGGGAAAGGGGGCTGGGAGGGACCGCTCTCTCCTCAGGTTTGTGATAAAGGAGAAGAGATCTGGGCACCATCTGACAGGCAGCACCCTTGGTCCAGGGAAATCGGATTTCAAAGGGTTCCGAGAAGAGATGGTCAGTTCCATGGAGACAAACGCTCCAGTGAAGTCAAGCAGGTGGGCTGGGAGATGTTCCAGAATGAAAAGCTGAGGATAGTAGGGGAACGATGCCGTTGGGGAAAAAACGTGGGACTGTCCAGAGACCAATGATGATGCGCGGGGTGCTCCTTTAGCAGCTCATTAAAGAAACGTCCAGAAGACGGAAGCAAATCTAGGAGCCAAGGGTGACCGGCAGAGCGAGGCCCGGTCCTGTGAAGAGGGACGGAAGCCAGGCTCATGGTCCATCTTTCAGCTACACTGGGTGAGGGGCAATCAAAGACCCTGCGGAACGAGAAAGGGGACCGCCAGTACTGGAGGAGGGTCATCCTGACATTCGGGGCTAAGTCGACACCCCAGACGCCGGCGAGCTGGGTCGATGCTGGAACGGCACGTGGAGGGATGGCTGGGGAAGAGCCAGCTGGGCTTCCTATGGACCAGGTCATGCCACACACCAACCTCCCCTCCTTCTCTGACAAAGAGCTGAAGGGAAGGCCTGGGATCAGGGTTAGCCCCCAACCTCACTCTGGGCATGGAGCTCGCCAAGATTCTAATCTCCTCTCTTCCCAGAAGACCTATGGATTAGACCAGGGGTGGGGAACCTTCGGCCTCAAGGCCACACGTGGCCCTCCAGGTCCTCAAGTGCAGTCCTTTGAATCCAAACTTCAGCTGCGCTTGAAGACCTAGAAGGCCACAAATGTGGCCTTGAGGCCGCAGGTTCCCCACCTCTGGATTAGATATTATGCTCAGCTGAACTCAGAAGCCGTTGGATGCCTGAACTCTAAGAAGCAGCCGCTAACTGCTCCATGTCACTTTGGCAGAAGGACTCCAAGGCTCAGGGCTCAGTCCTGGGCCGACATTGTTTTTTCTGGGTAATTAATCACTTTATTAATTAGGCTAGCAACTAGTCAATAAATTGATGGTCAGTGGTCTCTCTCAGTAACCAAAGCCAAGGAATATCATCAAATGCTTAAACACCTTTGGAAAAGCGGGTGCCTGTGACAGAATCCTGCAGTCAAGTGGAATAATGGTGTGTGTGTTGGAGGGCGGAGCGGCGGCATTTCAAGGGTGTGCGCCTGACACTTTCCAGATGGGCTAACATCACAACGGGTGATGTGGGTAAAGGCATAGAGGGCATGCAAAGCTAGGAGGGAGAGCCCGTGCTGTGAATGGCAGAGCCGGGACCCGAAGGAAGTGTGGCGGCAGCCACAAATCTCATAGGGGGGAATTCAGGCGGGATGAAGGTAAAGTTTCGCATCGGGTGCCAAAAAATCAACTTGGCAAGCATAAGATGGGGGAACGCAGGGAGAGACAGCAGCTGTTCTGAGATCTGAAAATGAGTGAGCACTGTGCCCTGGCAGCCAAGAGAGGGCACACAGAGGTGGTAGCCTCACTGTACTCCATCCTCACCAGCCCCCTTCTGGAAGATTGTACTGGGATGGAGGGGAGAAGGACGAAGGGAGGGAGGGAGGAAGGAAGAAAAGAAGAGAGGGAGGGGAGGGAGGGAGGAGGGAAAGAAGGAAGGAAAAAAGGGAGGGGGGAAGGAAAGAAGGGAAGGAGGAAGGGAGGAAGGGAGGGATGGAGGAAGGGAGAAAAGAGGGAAGGAAGAAAAAAGGGAGGGAGAGAGAGAGGGAGGAAGGAAAGAAGGAAGGGAGGGAGGAAGGAAAGAAGGGGAAAAGGGAGGAAGAGAGGAAAGAAAGAAGGGTGGGAGGGAAGGAGGAAGGAAGGAAAGAAGTGAGGGAGGGGAGGGAGGGAGGAGGGAAAGAAGAAAGGGAGGGAGGAAGAGAGGAAAGAAAGAAGGGAGGGAGGGAAGGAGGAAGGAAGGAAAGAAGTGAAAGAGGAAGGGAGGGAGGAGGGAAGGAGGGAGGAAGAAGGGAAGGAAGGAAGGGAAAAAGGGAGGGAGAGAGGGAGGGAGGAAGGAAAAAAGGGAGGGAGGAAAGAAGGAAGGAAGAGGGGGAGGAAAGAAGGGAGGGAGGGAGGAAGGAAGGAAGATAGGAAAAAAGGAGGGAGGGAGGAAGCATTTATTATGTACCCACGTACCAGACACTGCTAAGTATTTTCCATCTCTCCTTTGACCCTCACAACCACCTTGGGAAGGAGGTGCTATTATAATCTCTATTTTATAGTTGAGGGTGGTCTGGATCATCCAGGGTCACACAGCCAGGACATGCTGCATTAGAACTCAGGTCTTCCTGACACGAGGTGATCCAGTATTAGTAGGTGGAACTTCCTAGGATACAAATGTTGGTACGATCATCGATCATCGGCATAGATTTCCTCCCAGTGAGCTGTCCCAGCACGGAAGGGCCTCCAGAGCTGGTGGGAGCTGCCTGCCTGGAGGTCTCTGAATGGAGGCTGCTGTGACCCCTTCCTCCAGTCCCCGTGGCCCTTCCCCACACCCTGGAGCATCTCCTATCCCTCCTGGGAGGCCTGCCCTGCAGCACCTCATTCTGTGGGACCAGACTCCTTTCGCCTGAAACGCCCCCCAAGCTGGGATGTGGGTCAGATCGGGTCTCACCCATCGGAAGGCCTAGAAGCCAGCGCTGTGCTGTCCCCCTCACGTCCTCCCTCCTTCAAAGGCAACAAAGTTCCCAGGGCTGATGCTGGGCGACACCTGGGTAGCTCCTTCCGGCTGCCCACCACGGCTCCAGCAGAGGCCCAGCTCGGTCTCATGGCCTGTGTCCCACACAGGGCCGCTCATCTACACCCTCTGTTTAACCTACAGAATGCACACCCCACCTTGCCCTACATTCCTTTCGTGGAAGGCATAATAACCCAGGGCCCTAACCCAAGTCTCAGCGACAACAGAGGCCAAATGTACCTCCAGCTCACTCCCTATGCTGTATCTGTGCAGAATCTCAGCCCCTCTGCACCAGCTGTCCTGGGGCTCACAGCCCTCCCTCCATAGCTGAGGCTCGTGACTCAGCCAAGGTCATGCGGCAAGCTTCTGGAGCCAAGGATTGCAGGACCCCCCCACCCCCTTTCCCTTCCTCTCTCCTGGCCTCTCAGGCCTCAGTCACTGGGACAGACAGGAGGATGCTAAAAGATGACAGCTTGTCCAACATCGAACACAGCCACCACGTGAGTCACCACCCAGGGGTGATTTCTATCAAGACAGCTGCCCCTCCTTCCTGCCTAAGTTTGGATGCCTTTCCCTCCCTGTTCCCTCTCTGCCACCACACAAACACACTGACACAGGGAAAGGTCCCCCCAAAACTAGTATTTTTATTTCAACTGTCTGCAATTATAGGAGTGAAAGAGATGCAAAGGGCTGGGGAAAGGGCCGGAGGTTCCAGTCTGACAGTGAGTGGAGCCCACATGCTGCCCCCCCATCCCCAGGGCTCTGGTGCCCACAGAGCTG